ATTTCTAAAAATATTTTTAAAGGTATTTGGCCTTACATTTGCTCCCGGACATTTGTGGAGTAAATTATACGTACTTATTGCAAGTAAAATCATCTGGGTGGTAATAAAGCGTTCCAATTGACACAAATCATTTATATGCTTTGTACTCAGCGCTAATTTAAAAGGGAAATTTAAGTGTCTGGTGAAGTATGCATTTCAATCTTCTTAACAGATTTCCGTTGTTAACTGTTTATCATGAATTATTGTCAGGCTGATGCAACTGTGTACCAGACTCGTCTTTCGCCTGATTTAATATAGACTGCCCAAAAAACGGACAGTCTACGAGCAGACTAGCCAACGAGCATGAGCAAAATTGAAATGTTTTAGAGTTGTTCTGGCCTCACTGTCACTGGTTAAAGTGACAGTCCGGCGTTCGACAGACCGACAAATGTATTAAGAAGCTCATAGTACTTGCATTTGACGTTTGACTTTGCGTTGAGAAGAGCCTGAGGCACGCAGATAAACTACGTTAGTTCAGATGGCTGTACAGGGATTATAGGGACGCCCGTCGGCTTCTCACATGCCCAACCGAAAAAACAGCTCTGGAAGCCACCCGGAGCTGAGAGTGTTTACTTTAAGCAGTCACCCACACTGTCATAGTCTGTCCATAACGCCGTACACAAAAACGCAATCTGATGTCTGTACTATCTGATTTAAGAAGTGCGCCCTCGACTTTTGCAACCAAAGTAATATTGTTTGCTTATCCGATGTTCACAAAAATTTAACTTCCGCCAGTGATCTCCAGGATGCCCTGATCTAAATGACACAGGAATTCGTGCCATTATTTTTTGGTGTGTTTTAAGGCGTTACGCGTTTAAAAACCAGTTATTCCGCTAAAATGTTTTCTCCGGCTCACAACTTCCCGGTTGAAGATTCAAAAAGCCCTCGGGTAAAATAAAGAGTCATATTTCCTTAGTCGCCAGCACTTTTTGAAAATCTGTGCTCAAACTGGATACTTGCAAACTCATAGAAGACATTTATTTGGAATTCCGGATTTACCAGAGTAAAGCACATGCCATATTTTAACTTGTAACCGGCATTACCGATGGTGTTTTGAAGGAAAAAGTTAAATTTGTTAAAAGTTACAAACAATAACCTAAAATAGAAGTCTTTCCATAAAAGAATCTGGGCTAGATCGCAGTTGGTAGCCAGGACACGTATTACAGGTGGCGGGGAGGGGGTGTTTTCAGAGGTCATTTTGTGAGGCTTCATATTGACATCTGATCCATTTGGCTTCCTTTTTACGCTTGCGGTTAGGATTAGGCAATCGGTTAATGGTTTCCGATTCTTGGGTTAGCGTTATGCCTTTAGGCTTAAGTTTTCGGGTTACGGTTAGGGTTTGAGCGTACGATTAGGTTTCAGAATTACAGTTAGATTTTACAGTTAGGGCTATGCCTAAGAGCTACGTTTACGATTTCGGTTAGGGTTAGGATTGCCGTTGCGGTTAACGTTTAAGGTTGAGGTTAGGGATAGGGTTAAGATTAGGATTAGGGTTAAGGTCGCCGCCCGCCTCTCCATTCTTAGCTATTAACTGCGATCTAGCCAGAATCTGAAGTTTTCCGGGCAATGGTCGGTTACGCTGTCTTGGTCCCAAGTGTAAGCGCAATGTGGGCATTGGAATTGAAGTAAACCGAGGAGGATGGTGAAATTGTTAGTGGGAGAAATAGTCGACACTGAAACGGAGAGGGAAACCCGATGCATGACAAAACTTTCGCGCGAATGAAGCAGGCCTAGACTCCCCGCAAAAGACCTGGCTTACAGGACACGCGAGACAGTAATACGCCAAACCTAACAGCAATCTCAAAATTAAATCCAGTCCATAAGATAATTATAAACCTAACAAAAACCCTAAACTTAACACTAAATCTAACTCTAAATCTACTACAAACCCTAGTCCAAACCTTAGGTCTGACAATAAACCTGACCCAAATCCTAACCCTAACCTTAACCCTTGCCCAAATCGTAGCTCTTACCTTACCTTATCATAATCTTAACCCTAGCTGCAACCGTATCTTAACCCTAACCCCAACCTTAACACTAGGCGCAAACCTTAGCCGTTATCCACACTGTAACTCTAACTGGAACGCTTGAACTTAACATAAACCCTAACCCTTAACGCAATTATTAACCTGACACTTGCCCAGACCTAAAACTAACCCACCTCTAAACCGAAACACCATATTACCCTTTTCCGTTCTATCTTTGACTACTTCCCCACTGACGGTTTCAGCATCCTCCTTCAAGTTACTTTACTTGCACTGCCCACACTACGCGTACACTTGGGACCAGGACAGCGCCACCGATCCCTACCGTTTTCAATGCTTTTTTTAAACCATTTTTGTCGTCTTTACCTGTCACCGTAACTTTGCAGTCGTTCTTCACTGTCTGTCTAATTTCCGCAACGTTGTTATAACAACAAAATAGTGCCATGTTAGTTTAGACGGCGCAGAACGTTTACCAAGGACCATTTGTAACGGAGCACGATATAAAAATGAAATGTCTAGACCCATACGTCCACATGTCACCTTTAAAAAAAACTAGGTCAGAATGAAGGCGTCCCAAGAAGTTAGGGAATCTAAGAGCAGATTAGAAAAGACACTAGTCACCGGTCATTTTGGCACAAGCGTGAGACTCACTAGAGCACAACCCGCTCAAAGAACAAGGTTCGACTGTCTTAATTAACCTACTTTAAAAAATGCTAATTTTACTAGGGTTTACTTTCAACAAACAAAACGTCCGGACATATTTCCAAATTTTCACAATGTCACTGAAGTCCAGGCTTTATGGGTGTCAGCCGTAACTAAGAAATGAAATTCTCTACCTAATGAAAAAGCACTTGTCTGCGCTGTCATTAGATTTGATAACGTCAAATGACAGACGAAACCTACTTGAACTACCTGCATCAAGTACCGTTCGTGTCAGTTACTGCATTCTACACCATTTTCCCCGTGACTTATATGCAATCTGTTGTCCCCTTCTGCGAAAGATAGTTTTTCGTGAGAAAAGTTCCTGAAAAAATTCAAGGGAACACTCAGTCTGAAGATGCAAACTATCAACATACGGAGATATTTGGTGGAATTGAATGAAGAATATCCAGTTGAAGAAAAAGAATATAATGACAGGGTGAAAACTCACGCAACTGTCTACTGCTGAACCCAGCTTAAGACATTTCTCTTCTTGTTAAACATCTGCCAGCTAGAAATTTAAAGATGGGGGCGTGTTAGGGGAGGTCAATAAACTAAATATATGGTCATAGCTAAAGGCGAGAAGACATCTATTTAAAAATATCCTCCTCGCTAGTTCCTCCAAAATAACTTCAGATTCGCCATTGATCTTTGGATGAACGATGAAATACTACAAATTATTTATGAAACAAAGGCCTTAAAGAATACGGGGTTAACTTTATTATACAAATAAAACCAACGATTTCACATCAGAACGGTTGTGGTCAGGGGCATGCATCCGAATTGCGAGGAAACAAGTGAGAAAATTTGATGTGATTGATAAATAAACATATAAATTTAAATTAACGTCCTATATAGCAATGAACTTCCGGCTGTATTTTATTCCTCCAAGGTTGCCGCATTATCCGGACATAAAACCAGTACGGGGTAGGATAGCTCAAAAATTATTTATAAACTTGAATAGGTTAAAATTAATATTCATTCGTGAATTGCTTCACCTTGTTATACGTGTTCACTTAAATATGGACCTTTATAAATGAACACTTGCAAGCCCTTTATAAATAAATCAGTCTTGGCTTAAAAAAAATATTCGTTAACCAGGAAGGAAAAATGACCCGGTTTTTGCAAATCATCATTAACAAATCTTGCAACAAATTACTTTACTAAGTTTGAAAACAGTTAATCTAATCCTGCATTTGCTTGACACAAACCTCCTCTGGCTAAAATAAGTTTTACCCTGGATCAAAGAGAGTAATAAAGCTATCCGAAACGAAAAAGTCTAACCGAAAATGTTTGACCTGTCCAGACCAAACATTTGCAGCACTAAATTAGGCGATATTATAGGAGCGATTTAGATCGTACCGACGTAGAAGTCATAAATAAACACTTCCTCGCTGAAGGAAATTATACAAACTCATGGTTACTGCTGTTGGCTAAGGACTGGGAAAGTGGCCTGATAAATAGACAAACTCTCTGCCTGCATCAGGAATTGAGTGCTGATGGCGACCTATGAGCTGCGTTAACAGGCCTTTGCAGGTTTCAGTGGGATCGACACGATAAGTAATACTGTAATGACTCTAATATAAAGTGTCGAAACGCACTTTCGAGTGCATGGGAGGGTTTTTCTAATGGCTCTGTTGGACTGCCAAGTGATGTTTAGACTGAATTTAAGGGGATATGCAAACATCACAAATAGAATTTTGTTGTTCATGACGCTGCGTTATAAATTTTTAATAATTACTCGACATTTATCGCAGTAGAAGAAGGCCAAACGATTTTGTAGGAAATTGCTTTGAGAATAATTAGTTTAAGACAAATTATATTCCTCTACAAAAACTGCCAGAGAGATTTTTCTGGCTCCATAGCTCGCAGTCGTATAAGTCTGCACCAAAATATATTCCCTTTAAATGATTGCGTTGTTGCACGGAATAGCGTTACACGCTAACAATTCATATTCTGGGTACGCCAGTGGACGGGGTACTACTGCCATTTTGTCCTACGCAATCTTCGTGTTCACTGTGACGCGTAGAAGTGTCATTAATACACGAAAGCATTTAGCACGTTTTAGGTGCTGCAGTTCCAGAATCACATCTCTTCAACTGTGGCGGTACCTGGCACACACCACATATCACATGTGGTTATGAGGCCTCACCTGAAGTAAACAAATCCAACACCTATAGTACGGGACCGGTGGTAATAGGGGTTTTTACAGGTGGGGTTGGCGAGCGCACAGGCGACGAGGTCAAGTAGTTAGATGCACAAGGAAAGCTATTGGGAATGCGCGGTTGTACTTGGAGGGGTTGGGAACTAATTGTGATAACCCCTAACCCCAACCCCAACAGTATTGTGTCCACCAGGTGGGGTAACCAAACCACATCTTAGTGCCCTCTCACTACAGCAGACTTGAATGTTCCTCCCCATTTAGATACTCGCAGGAGCAACCGGCCGGAACGGAGAACAGTGCCAGTCGCCTGGGAACTGGTGCGATACAGGTTGGACGTTGCTGCATCAGCGAGACCCGCTTCTCCGAACAAGACCAACTGGAGGAGGTGAGTATCGGTTACATTTTCTTCTGGATCGGTCGCCTCAGGCAGAACAACAAGGCGCGGTCGTCGTCTTTGTCTTCCGGAACGACATCGCAGAATGGCTGTCCCGTCCGCCGAGATCGCCTGATGAGTCTGCGCCCGCCTCTTCGAGGATCCAACTTCGCCACCATCATCAGCGCCTACGCTTCAACAGTGACCGGCTCACACGAGGCAAGACAAATTTCTACGAAGACCTGCATGCACTCCTGGCATCTATATCGAAGGCGGACATGTTGATTGTCCTTGTTGACTTCAGTGGCCGCGTTGGGACAAACTGTGCTGCCTGGAGGGCAGTGCTGGGTCCTCATGGGATCGCCGACCACAACGACAACGACCTCCTTCCATTCCTACTGAGAACCTGTGCTGAACACCCCCTCCTATTAACCAACACCATCTTCCGCTTGCCGATACGGAAAAAGGCCACCTGGCTACACCCCCGATCGCGGCATTGGCATCTGTTGGACTATGTTCTATTTCGGCGGCGAGGTCGGCATGATGCGGCGGTGACCAAGGCGATCTGAGACCCCGATAGCAGGACGGGCCGCCACTTCGTTATCTCCAAGATGAGACCCCGTCTGCAACCCCTCAGGAGAACACAAATTAAGCAACCACGTGTAAACCTAATACCACGTTGTCGCACTGGCCTGCTCACCGTCTGCATTTCAACAATCAACTGTCCCAGCGACCGGGAGAACTGCCAGCCCCGAATGAAAACGCCTTCGTGGAGCTATGGTGGTGTCTCAGCGGTTCCTCAGGATTTCAAAGAGGCAACCATCGTTCACTTCTACAGGCGCAAAGGGAATCGGCAACTCCGTGAGAATCACAGATGCATCTAGCTACTCGACATCGTCGGGAAGATCTCCGCCTGCATCCTCCTCAATCGTCTCAACGGTCACCTCGAACAAGGACTGCTGCCGGAAAGACTATATAGTATGTGACGTCACGGGGCACCACCTGTATGGTCTTTGGCGTCCGCCAGCTACAGACGAAGTGCCAGGAGATGTGAACCCGCCTCTACTCTACGTTCATAGACTGGGCAAAAACCTTTGATACGGTGGACCGCGAGGGACTGCGAAAAATCATGCAGAAACTTGGCCGTCCTGGAGGATTCACGCACATGATACGTCAGCTCCACGACGCAGTGATGCCGTGAGCCACGGACAACGGCGTGATATTTGAGGCATTCACAATGACCAATGGGGTGAAGCGGGACAGCCTACTCGCCCTCACCCTCTTCAGTCTCATGTCCCCTGCCATGCTGATGGACGCTTACCGTGATGAGCGCCCCATGCTTTGCATCGTCTACAGAACAGACGGGCATCTTTTCGACAGTCGGCGAATGTAGGCCTCGACGCGCCTCTCCACATCTACCATCAACGATCTGCTCTTCGCTGACGGCTCCACACTCAACAATGTAACCGAAGTGGACATCGAACGGAGCATGGACCTCTTAGCCTCCGGCTGCGCCCACTTCGGACTGGCCATCAATACGGACAACACGGTGGTCCGGCATCAACAGCCGTCGGACGCTGAATACGGTGTCCCTCGCATCCGCGTCAATGCCACCAAACTGGAGTTCGTGGATAACTTCAACAACCTAGACATAAAAATGTCACACTGCAACGCAATATTTCGCTGGGTGGACAGTTCGCAAGCATGAATGCCTAGTAATCATTGTCCTTTTGACTCGTTGTGGTGCTGTTTTTGTTGCTTAAAATCCTGGTCAAGCGCCTTTCGTGGAACAGAGGATGCGGTGGTACGTCTAGGTGCGCGTCTAGCCCTGCCAGCTACCTGCGCCCTCCCTCACCTCCTGCCTTCTGGACTGTCTTGACGCGGGGCTCATGTAGGAAGAAGGGGAGAGTGCGGTATGTGCTGCGCAAGTCTACTTTCATTATAAACTAATTCACGCGCTTGTCACCATTTCTGCTTAGCCTTGTTGTGGAGCACACGATGGACATCAACAGGCACGACGGTCGAAGTGTCGTATGGAAAATTGTCACTTCATCTACTTCCATTGTCGTAGCTCGTGTCAGGAAATGTTGTTCAGAACGACAATACACCGAATTATCGGTGATATGCTGCACAGGATTTCAGCAATTTACATAACACCCAACACGTCCTATGACCATCCGAATTTCCTGAGCTCAACCCAAAAACATGTTTTGGTTTATTTCCACTAGGCAATTTTCGAGAAACCGGAAATGCGAACACCTTCCCAAATAGCGATCACCGTCCCAAATATCTGCAATGTGAACGTGTAAGAATAAAGTTCTTTTCTTCCAGACAGCACGAGGCTTAGTTTGAGCTGTAATTCT